CCAGGCTAGGTGACACCAGTAGAGTTATAAGGTCATGTCTATACTGTCTCAGCAGCAATCCTGAGACCACAAACCCTGCACATTCTTTCCCACTCTACATTCACCATTTGTTGAAAACCATCTTGTACGGTTGCTGTTGGAGTGGTGTTCAAATTATAAACAGAGGTAGAGATAGAGACTCTGAGAGTATCCTGACAAGTGCCAAAAAGCAACCACACAACAGGTTTCTGCAAGTGGTATGCATACAGTAAAAACTAATGGGTGGGCCTGGTTTCTCAGTGGCAGAATTGGGATTGCCACGAAGGTAAGACATGGACATGTCTTAACATGTCTCAAGCACCCTTAGTTCCAGTGACTTCTCACCCATCCACTTGAGCCTCTGGTTACAAATAAGGTAATGACGTACAATCAGGTAACAAAATCACACTGTTAGCCAAGGCCAGCATTCTTCATTCAGACAAGTCTCTCTCTGACACCAAAGACAGAAAACTGCATTACTACTTACACTTATGTTATATGTATAACCTCCTTTTAGCCCTTCTATCATAGCAGTGATTAATTTATTTGTTTTGTCAATGACACTTAAATTGTGAATCTGGACAACAGAAGGGTCTTCTTCATTGTAAACCATAGCTTGATATACTTGAATATTTCCGTTAGGTTCAGAGGGTGGCACAAATGTCACTTGGAATTTTGTTACTTCATTTGGTATCTTCTGAAATGTTATGTTGTTTGGTGGGTCTTTAGGCACTAAAAGAAATATCTTATTAAAATATCTTATTAATCAATTTGAATTACAATGTATTATAGTTATGTATGGATTAAAATCCTGGAAAGCCACGGATTATATTTTTAGATATCATCATAACATTATTGCTACTTAATTAGTTTTTATTAGCAATAACTATCTAAATACTTGAGGCTTATGCACATAGAAATACCACATAATGATAAATATTTTTAATAAAAAACCTGTTTGGTGCCAAAGTCTGTTGCTGTATGGGTATTTAATGTCACAAAGAGCAAACCTAATCATTAGAAATATATTGTAAATAATAACACTTCACAAGCAACGACCTTACATTTCTAAACTCATCTTTTCCTGTAAGACCCAAGAAGCAAATTAGCCTTGAAGAATGATCTGAATGTAAAAAACAAAAAATCCTTATTTTGTCATCCCCAACTTTCAGAGCTTTTAGAGCTCCATCCTGAAAACCCTCAGCTAGTGGCAAACAGGGGGCTGGTTTATCAAGAGCCTCTTCTGAGCACAACAGTATCCTCTATCCTTTCCAATAGCCAATACCCAAACCTATTTAGGGCTTTATAGGTCAAACATGTGCTTTGTATTCTAGCCACAAACTTACTGCAGGCCAGTGCACATCTCAGGGCACAGTATAAAACATTATCTTCCCCTATGATACAGGCATAGTCCTCTGTTGAAACAATGAGTCTAGTAGTCTATCCTCAAGGTACCAAATCCCAGGATCATTTTACCAGGGTCTCTGTCTAAAATAAATGGCTGTACCACATATAGAAAAGCCAGGTGAGATGAGCTGCAGAAACAATTATAATTGTCTTTAGCCCATATAAGAAATCATCAAATAGCAGACAAGTGACCTTCTTGGTATAAACTTGTTTTCACTGGTCAGTGGTACCAAAGTCAGTTGACCCATCTAAGAGTACGGACACTACATTTTCATACACAGCTCACTGACAGGAAGCCAGCCCTATATCCAGACCTGAAACTATAGTTAAAGCTATAGTTAAAAGACTAAAGTTCTAAACCAGTTGATAATTAGAAAATGTGTCATGCAGTAAAATTATATATAGTCAATTTAGTTAGGTTTTTTTTTAAAGGACGGCTTAATGAAATAATTCAAAACCAGCAGAGGTGATTAAAAATTTATCAGCAGCACTTTGTCATAAGTGAACTAATATTCTCAAGCTATTATATTTTTTCATTTAGCTGCACTATCTTATAAAAGGATAAAGCCTTAAGCCTTTTGATTCCTGCATGTAATTGCTGACTGGACCAGTGGACTGATACTCAGCTTGGAATCAGGAGAGTTGCGTTTCATTCCCAACTCTGCCACTGAAAACACTGAACTCTTTGTCTCAGTTCCTCCAGCTGTAAAAAAGGTATTATGATACTTATATTTAAAGTGTAAAGCACTTTAAGATGTATGGGCTATAAAGGCTAAGTGTTATTATTTATTTATTATCACTTTTCTGCCTACAAGAATAATTTAAATATAAGAAAAAATGTAAAAGCATTTAATGTGAAAGCAAAATCTAAAGCTGCATTGAAAACATCTAGCACCTAACATTTATATTTTATTTACTGAACAGATATAATGGAAAAAAGGAACTGTAAAGTTACATTAAGTTAAACAACAAAAACACTTACCTGCTTCAAAAGTGGAGACAATTACTGGTGTGCTAGCTTTGCCCTCGAGATATGCAGCATTTACATCTCCTGTAAAGGCGATGATTACCACAGAATATTTTGTAAACGCTTTTAAATCTGAAATTTCCAGGGCTCTATCCTCATCATTTGTCTTAAGAAATACAGCTTTGTAATTGTCACTATCTACCTGTAAAATAAATAAACACAACACTACAAGAAAGAGGATGTTACATGAACAGAATATTATATTTATTATATATTTATATATTATAGAAAATGAGAGTGCGGTAGCAGGGTAATTAAGTAGCTGTGCTAGTGCTTCAAAAGTGTGAGTTCAAGCCTTATTCCAAACCTATAGCAAAGGCTTCCAGTCAGCTCATCAGGAAATAGGTACATGGTCAAGAATGTCAAATTTAAGGTACCCATACATGATGTTAACCACACCACTCAGGTGTGTGCAGTTGACTACAGAAACTGGCATGCCTGGTTCTGTATGCCGAGGAGGACTTTTAACATTTTCTTTTGCTATACACAAACACATGTACACAGGTATGCAAGAATCCCAGTTATCAAAACTGAATTGCTGCATAGTGGAGTTATAAAATAATAAATACACTACTGTTTTTAGCATACGTCTTCAAACAGAAAACCCCTGGCACAGTGGGATCAACTTAGTTGTTGCTAGTCACCACTGTAATACAAACAACAATGCCAACCAGCAAATATTGTTTTAACTGCTAAAAAATAAAGGCACAGAAACATTCTCCTGTGCAGATTTTTAGCTCAGTTTTCTCTGAAGCACATTCAGAAAAAAGAGAAGATAATGGGAATGACTAATTCTACCTATATACAGCCACACTAGCGCACTAATAAATTGTAGGATCAGTAAAAATAAGTCTGTAACTAGGGGTTTGGATTTCAGAAGGGCAAAATCATTCCAGAAATGAATTAAAGGTGGCTGACAGGATGCAATAGCTGAAGGATTTAAATGCAGAAATGAAATTACTTCAAGTCAGTAGTACAAATACTATTTGGATCTTGCTTCCCAAGCAAGTGCTAAGGTCTATGGATCTATTTGGATAAATAAGCATCTGAAGCAACACGCAATGGTGCTTACTTCCTGGGCTTTGATGCTGCATGAAGGCAGGGGCTGAATGCCACCACTGCTAGTCCTCCCTTTTCCCATGGTGCCAAATTCACATGGAGCCAGGGTTCTGGAGAAAGGGAGGGTGAACGGCAGCAGTGCTCACCTCCAGGATCCAGAGCTCTGTGAAAGCAGGGTCTCTGGCCAGGCCTGTGCTGACCAGCCTGTGAGCTCAGAGCTCATGGCCAGGTAGAGCTGCAACTGGAGCATGTATTTGCATGCCAATGAACAGAGAGGTCACTGGCATCTAGGATCACAGCAAAGAGGGTCTGGCTGTGCACAGAGCTAACCTTACCGTGCATGTGTCACACAGCTGAAGGGGTGCTTGTGACCTCACCCTCTGCACTGTGATCCTGGATCCACTCATGTTCAAACTCCCCTTGCCTGAAGGAGATGTAGAACTTGTCTCTTCTGCTCCTTGGGAAAACAGTTTAAGCCTTGGACTAGGAGGTGCGCAGTAGGCTAAGCATAGGCAATGCTGAATTGCAAATTGCGCATAATTTCTAAAACCCAAAGTTACGTGGCTAGGTAGGGGCTCTTTTGGCTCAAACAGCAAGGTAGGATATGGCTCATTCCATTTAATATTTTCATAGAGACCTTGGTACAGGAACTAGATCTATGTTTAAGATTCACAGATGATAAATAACTGGAAAATACTTCCAAGAGGAGGAAGGATTGGATTATCATAAAAGAAGAATTAGAAAATTTCATGGACTGGACTGGACAAGGGTATGAACTTTAATAGTACAAAGTGCAAAATTATGTACTTAGGGCCTAATATCCAGATCTTTACTATAAGCTGTGGTCTCACAGACTGCAGGTGATGAAGAAAAAGAGAGATTGGTCTCTCAACTGCAAATGACTAACACAGAAAACATAGTTTACAAAGAAAAATTGAAAGCACTGCGTTTGTTTGGTCTAGAAAAGAGAAGAGTGAGGAAGGATGCAAGCAGAATATTCAAATATAGATATGGTCATTATAGAAAGGGGGGCGATACATTGTTCTCAACATTCATCCAGGTTATAACATTAAGATATTTTAGATATTAGAAAGCACTAGAACTTGTTACCAAGGAAAGCTAAGGACCTTCCATCACTGGAACGGTTTAAGAACGGATTAGATAAATCTCTCTTAGGGCTTTGTTGCATGGACCTTTTGAGTGCTCCTGGAGCTCTTAACCCCTGGATTGTCCACACATTAACACCTGAAACTGATTTTAAGCGCTCATCATCGGACTCAAAGTTATGTCATTCTAGGGCAGAATTCTCTCTTATCTGTCCTACCCTGCTTCTGTTACACAAAGGTGTTGCTACTCTAAACTACACCTCAGTATAAACACTCCCCCCACCCCCCTCCACTGGCCTGGATTGGGTTTACTACCCCCCTCACCCTCCCCAGCACCCCAGATCCATTGCTCACTGCCACCCGCTTCGCCACCTGCTTACTTGTGGCTGCCTGTGCTGTCTGTCCCAGGGAAGCAGGCAGGGAAGGATTAAAGTGCCTCCCTGTCTGCAATTCTCTGGGCCAGAAGAGCAGCAGCCCAGCAGCTTTGGTGGCCAGGGAGGCAGATTAACGCTTCCCTGCTCACTCCCCTAGAAAGAACAGAATGGGCAGCCACAAGTAACTAATACCCCAGGGATCAGGGGAGGCAAAGGGGAACCTCAAAGAGAAGGGGGTAAACCCAGATTAGGGGGTTGGGAGGGTGAAGTGGAATAGTTGCCTAGTAAGTCTGTTCTAATACTGGAGTCTATATAAAACAGTAGATAAGAGGAAAAGGAAGATTTTCCAGCAAATGATCAAACACCATTTTATATAATCCCCTCTTTATGTTTATTCCCACCATTCTAATATTTTACAAATAATGTTTTCATAATTATTTCTTCAATGTGTAATTTGAAAAGAAGATTAGGTAGCTATACAGTAGTTTTCCCACTGGGTATAATCTGTATTAAATGCAGCTGCTAAAGCATTAGAATCATTCAAGCATACTTCTACTTTGACAGATGTGCCTCTATCCCCACTGAGAGTTAACCTTAACTAAAGTTTCTGATGCACTAACCAGACATTCATTTCCCAGGATGACTATCAAAAGATGAGGTACTTTTTTGTATCTCACTATCAAAAATATGACATTTAAATATTTACAATTGAAGTAGACTACAATGTTCAAAACTGTAAAACTAAACTTATTTATATTTATTTTTCCCCAAAAAGATTTACAGTCTGATTTATTGCATAAATTATTCTCATGAAAGTGAAGTGAGACAGTAAAATATTATTCAACAGGGTAGTGGTGGCAGAATAATTTTCTGATTTAGTGTTCCTGAAATTGACAACTGACAAAAGAAACTTTGAATTTCCTTAAGTGGATAGTAAGGATATGGTAAGGATATTAAAAATTAGGAAATGACAAGAGAGCAGCTCTGAATTTAATGAAGCCTGTGAACATATATTACAAATCCTTAAAGAGGGTGAACTAAGAACTGAAATGGTAAAATGTATGCTTATTGTAAATTATAGAATATTCATAATATTTGGAGACTTTATGTACAATTTTCCCAAAGGTCCACCAAAACTTACATCAGAACTTTTATTAGAGACAGGTTATGACAGTTTTACTGGACTTTAAATAGTCAAGAGAGTCTATTTAAGGCTGTTTGCTGCACAGCTGACACCTGTAGAATCTGATCATTGCTTCTTAATCGAGTCCTGTATTATCAATCTCCAGTTAACTCTAGATACTTGAAACATATTCTAGAACTGAACATTTCCTTAAATAAATTTTTGGAGACTGACTGATTATTAAAACAATATTTTAAACCCATGCTGAATGCTTATCAACACATCTGAGAAGTGCATTATGATATTTCATTATACATAATCACAAAAGTCAAAGAACCACATGAGTCTAGCTACCTAGTGTTCTAACCTATTGCTGGTTAAGATGCACCAGTTTATATAACAAATGGCTCATATGGGAATGATGTGCCTAGCATCATGTAAGCTCTGCCTTTGCCTCCCCAATTCAAATGATAATGTATAAATAAGCTTGGGCTTGGAGACAGACTTGGGCAGAAATCTGGAGTGAAGTCCACACACATACCTCTGGAACCACAGCAAGATCCCTTAACTGCACTGGTGTCATTCCCATTATCATGAACAATATTGCTTGGATATTTATAACTGTATTATTATCAAAGATGTGAATAAATCTTGCTAAACATTTAGGAACTGGAAACTCAAAAGGAAGGGAGATAAAATGTGTACCTAGAACTATGAAATGTTTCATGCAAACATGATTTTTGACTGGGATTGATAATAGCTTTGCAAAAAGATGGAAGAAAAGTTTTGACTGATGAAATGTTATGGCATTTACCATAAGTTACAGGAGATTTATCGAAATAAATATATATCTTTTCCTTTATTAAAATTAGAGTGATCAATAAACTGGATGGCCCCTCTTCTCTAGTCTTTCATAATGATACCCATGATTTCAATTTCCCTTTAACACTTCCACTACTGTTTTAAATCCATCCTCTTGTGGACTGTTGCTGTAATAGGAATGGCATACTACCTCTATAGTGCACTGTGCTGGTAGGTGGAACTAAAATGGTAGGAACAGCTGAGATCAGCATTGCCATCTCAAGATTTTACTGTGAAACAAGGCAAACACACTTCAGTGAAACAAGGCAAACCAATCATACTTTTTCAATTGATTTTGGGGACCCTGATTTTTGTGTAACAAAGGATAGCAATGGTCAAACAGGAGGCAAATACACCAGCTGTGGAGTGTAAATAAAATCAAAACTGTAGTTCAAGTCTCTTTGCTCAGGTGATGGCTTTATTAATATAAAGATAATTTCAAAACAGCATCAAAATAATATAGACTATTTGGTAACCATCAAGAGCATTCTTTGCAGGTTTCATGGAAATAGGAGGTTCTGTTTGATTCCTGAATATGCTGGAAATAAATGAGTATTTCCTGGCATGCTTCTTCTGGTCTGGTATCTTGTCAAGGCTGGGGGTTTGGTAACATTTTTTTAAAGAAGATAACCGGAGGGAAAACGTGGTTTGACTTTGAGGCCAAGTTCTTTGTTTCCCCAAAACATTAAGTGAGGAGGATTACACCATAATAGATAAAGCCTTCAAGATGTAACATTATCTGTGAGATAACTATACCTAGTCTCCATCTGACAAAAAAATTAGTTACTGTTGTTATTATCATCATTATTGCTATTGTTGTTGTTGTTGTTATTGCTGCTGGAGGGCTGTTCCAGAAAGTTTGAAGATACAACTAGGGCAGCAATATGTCTTGGATCCTGCTTTGACCAATAAGGAAGAACCAGGTGAGGATGTGAAGTTGTGATCATGATCTTAGGATAGGGAAAGCACGAGGCTGGCAGAACTAAAACACTGGATTTCAAAAAGGTACATTTCAACCAACTCAAGAAGATAGTAGGTATGGTGCTCTGGAAGGACAGACTGAAGGATAAAGGTGCCCAGGAGGGCTGGAAGCTTCTAAAGGGCACAGATAAGCTGTTTTGACACAATGGAGGTACAAGAGGAAAGACAAGAGACCCATGTGGCTCCACAAGGAGCTTCTAGGGTGTTTTAAATACAAAAGGAAAGTATACAGGCAATGGAGAGATGGGCAGGTCACCAAAGAAATATTAGGAAACAGCAAGAACTTGTAGGGACAAAATGAACTTGTAGGGACAAAATCAGGAAGGCAATGGTAAAAGATGAGCTTCACTTGGCAACGGAAGTTAAAGACAAGAGATGGCTCTATACATATGTTGATCAAAACAGATGTGGGTACAGTTCTAAACAGCTAGGGCAAACTCTTAACAGAAGAAAAGAAGATGGAGCTCCTCAAATCTACTTTGTCTTCACAAAACATTTCAAGCTGCAAGCAGACACTCAATAAGAATTACTTGGATAAGGAAGGGGTCAAGCTGAGGGATGAGAGAGCTTTTCATGGGCCTAAATGAATTTAAAATCAGCAGGGACTGGTGAACTTCATCCCAGGGTACTGAAGGAATAAGCAGAAGAGATCTTGGACCTTGGCAATAATATTTTTAAACTTGTGGGAGACAACAGTTACCTGAGAACTGGAAAGGGGCCAACATAATTGCCTTCTTTAAAAAAGGCAAAAGGAGGACCTAGAGAAATACAGACTGGTTAGCCTCACTTCAATACACAGGAAGTTACTGGATCATATTAAAAGAAACTCCATTTACCAGCATCTGGAGAAGCAAAAGTTGATTACAAACAGCCAGCATGCATTGACTAAGATGAATTGTTTCAAACAAACTTGATCTCTCTCTTTGACAAGATAACGAGTTGGATGGATAAAGGGAATGCTGGGGATAGGGAATGCTGGAGATATAGTATATCTGGACTTCAGAAAGGCTTTTGACAAAGTCCCACATGACCAGAGCAGAATGCAGACCAATGGCTTGAAGTTGCAGCAAAGTAGGTTTGAATATCAGGAAAATCTTCTTTACTATTAGAACAGTGAAGCAGTTGAACAGACTGCCTAGGGAAGTTGTGGAATTGCCATCACCGGAGGTGTCCAAGAAGTCGGATAACCATTTATCAGGGATGAACTAAGAGTAGCTATGCCTATGCTATGTGTTGGTTTTTCCCATGCTTCTAGGATTTGCTACTTGCCACCTGAGGTCAGCGTTAGGGTTTTTTCCCCTTCCTATTGCTCCATGTCAGGACTTTTCCCTGCTTCCTCAGGAACATGTGGCTGCAGCCAGGGCTAGGGATTTTGACTGGAGTGTGCCAATGCACCTGCTGGAATTAAAACACAGAGGGTTCCTGGTTAGAGGGTGTTGCCCCTCCACTCAGGGTCAGACCTATCACCACATTTGGGGTTAGGAAGGAATATTACCCTATGGTCAGACTGGGATGGACTGTGGGGATATTTGCCTTTCTCTGTACTTCCTTGGATCTATCAAGTGTGTTTTAATCATCCTTGCAGCAGCAGGACACTGACAGCAGCTGTCCTGCTTTGCCTATGGCAGCTTAGGGTGCTGTGCCTGGTGGTTGTGTGACAGGGTTGATTGTGTAGTTTTAGTAACAGGTGACACAGATTTTGTAGGGGATGATCTGGATAGGGATGGTCCTGCCTAGGGCAGGGTAGTGGACTTGATGGCCCCTAGAGGTCCCTTCTAGCCCTACTTTTCCATGACTCTGTCCCATTATTGCCCTGGCCAGTGGCCTTCTGGTTCAAACAGTGTCACAGTACAGGATGACCTGGCTACAGAAAGAGGATCACTGCTACCAACAGCACATCCGTGAGCTCTTAAGCTAGTCATTTAATCTTTCACAGAAAGAACATTCAAGGAGGTAATATAACTGCTGACTTTTACGCATAGTTTCATAAACTCCATAGTACTACACATTTTTGTATAGATCTTAAAGTTATATCTTTTTGTTTAACAAAGCTGATGTGAATAAGGAGCTACAAGGTTTCCTGCAAACATGCATACTTCAATATCAAAGACTTAGTTTGCTTTCAAATATGAAAATCATAATTTTCTCAAACTGTGTTCATTTCTTATGCCCAGAGTCTAGTCTAAATGGAAGCGTGTATTTTGTTGGGTCTGGCTTTCATTTCTATCCTGTTTATGTTTATCCTGCAGTTTCTATAAAAAAATCTTTATAAGAATAATTCTAGATACTGTCAGAAATCTCTATCACTATTGGCCAAAGAATAAATATTTGAACTGTCTTACTGAGGTAATGTTTATGAGGTAGCTTGTTGGTCCAGTAATGATGTCAGGTTCATTCCAGCTGATATTAATACTGTGAGGAGATACAGCTACTACAGTTACATTTTCTGGAGGACCATCTGGAGCTGTGAAAAAAGTGATGCATATACAAATCAGTGCTGAATTGGTTCACAACACATAATACATTATTTTCAGTCACCAGATGCTGTTCTTTTACCACTTGAAAATAGAAAAAAGGGTTCCAGACCTATACCACAAATTAGTAATGCTGTTCAAAGAAGTATACTTATCTGGCACAAATAATTTCCACATGGAAAATGGAGGGGGCACTGCATAAAGTATATCCTGTGGCCTGATGGTTCCAGCACTGTGCTCAGAAGTGAGAAAGCAATATAGGTTCAAACCCCTCTGGAAGAGGGGCATAGAATCTAATTAGGTGCCATAACCATTTGGCTATTGAGCAAAAACATAGAGGAGCTGCCACTTCCTCCTGCTGATTTCAGATTGGGCCACAGTTTTGGTATGTGTAGGCACAGCCACATACCTGTCTAGCCAGTACATCCTACTGTACATACTCAGTAGTCCTGTGGATGCTTACTCGTCCATATTGCAATGCAATATTGCAATGGAATAGGATGACAAAATGTGTGCAAGAGCCAAAAACAGCAGTCACATAGCTAGGAAACTGACATTTGGGCACAGAAAGTGAAATAGGATTTTGCTTTAGAACTCCAAACTACCAATGATTTTTCTATTACTCCACTTGCAAAACAAACAATAGAATATATTTTATTTTTTCATTTAGTCAAGCAAGCAATTTACATTTATATGCAAGATAAGGATTTTGGGACCTGAAACTGATTTTAGTGCAATCTAACCTTACTGTATATAACCTTATAACAATGTTCTAACTTTAGAAACGCAGCATTTCATACAGGCTATTTGTGAAAACTTTTAGGTTTCTGTTTGGAAATTTGTCCTCTGTTACACTGTAATGAAGTCATGTACATAAAATATAGCTAAGCATCATTATCTACCTTTCCCCCCCATCATAATAAGAAAATGATTAGACAGTATTAAAAATGTGGGAATGTTTTTTGAAAATTATCTATATAATTGGAAAGGAGACTTAAAACTGGAAGTATGCTATCTGAAAACTCTTAGTATCACAATAAACATCTTTTAAAAAGACTGTCTCAGTGGAAACTGTCATATCCTGATTTAGGATTGTTTGTTAAATGAGTCTAGTCAGTAATGGAGCGAGATATCACTATACCCTTTCTCTTATAAATCATAGCAATTTACTCAGTAGAAATGACCTAGTCTTATTCTCTCATTCCCCCATAATCCAATCACTTCCTCTCATAAGCACTTTTCTCCTGGTTTTCACAATAATGCATTTTCTGTAACTAACAACCATCATTTCCTGATTATCATGCTTCTATCCTTGCACAGGAATGTGGGTCTTATGGAGGTCAGGGTCATCTTTCCCATCCATCTGTGTCCTGATGCTATGGCAGCAGTTAAGTGTGCTAGCTGGAAGGTGAGTCTGGATAGCCCATCATTTTAGCATAATCCTCAAAAACAAGACTGAAAACCCTAACCTTCTAATGGAAATTCATGCTTGCCAGTTTGGTTAAGGCCCAAGTTCCTATGCAAAGGGAAAAAGGTATTCTGTCCCATTATTTCAAGTAATGTAAAACTTTTCTACCAATATTTTTACATATTCATCACGTATATATCAGTATATCTTCCCTTCCAATGTTTCCCACTGAGAGAATGAAAGGGATAAAGAAATCCACGCCCCTTCAAGGCAAAACTGTCACAAGAGGGATATAACAAGGAATATAGCATCATTCCCCTCCCTTTGACCCCACAGAGGTATTTCTGCAAGAACTCCATGGCATAGGCTATCTGCAAAAGTCAGGAAGGGTGGTGCTGCAAAGGGAAACGGGCAGAAGCAGAGAAGAATCCCTGTGCATGGCATCATTCACCTGTAAATGCATGGGAATTTCTCTGTGTCATGAAATGCTGATAAGGTGCCAGCTGTATGTTACAAACTTCCACTGCACACATTTTTAGTGCCTGGGGCCATGTACAAGTAGAAAAGAATAAATCACCCTGCCACATCAGAAGTGAGGTTTGGGGAATGTCACATAGGTTCTGGCCCTCTGCACATAAACCCGGGGCTTTCAGGGATGCCTCCATACCTGCAGGTTTCCCTTGCACATCTCAATATACCCAAAGCACTAGGAGACCCTTTAGCTTGCCAAAAACTAGCAAGTTCTGTATTTATGCATTATGAACTTTCTGGCCTCTGTACCATTCATTTTCACTGAATTCAAAGCGATTTTCTTTGAACAACATGACCTAAGCCATAAAACAGAATCTCTTGTTTCTAACGAATGCAAACATAAATATCAAGCCAAGGGCAGATACAAAAAACAAAACAAAGAGTTTCCCTGAATATGGAAAATGTTGCTTTGCCTTCCCCATGACTGGTGTCATAAGACTATGATCTACTATGCCAGTAACTGTATAAAGTTAGATCATGCTGAAAATATTTCATCTTGCAAAACGGAGCAGGTTGTTTGAGTAATCCATCAGCTATGCAACAACAGTGCTATCAAACTATTTTATGAGGCAGTAAGACAATTCCTATGTGGATAATCTACAAGACAGAGAGCTGAGTAATTTATCTGGATGTGAGAAGTGGATTAATATGGAGTAATATACAGCTCTGTACTCCAAAACACAACATCACTGCTATCATTGTTGTAAATGTGTAAACAGGCTCAAGAAGCTAGGCAGGAATTCCTGCTGTTTTAAAATCAACTTTGTAGTGATGTGTACTGTAATGAGTGAACTCCTCAGTTTAATAATCTGAATATTCAGTGTATTTAACTTTTTTCCACTTGATCAGGGATTCACAACTTTTGTGGGTGCAGACTGCTTTCTGTGACCTGGCCCCGGGCACAAGCGTCTGCCCCTTCTCCCTACAAAGAGAGTAGCCAGCTGCCAGTGCTCATCCTTGATGATGATCCCCAACCTCTCTGCAGCAAGGGTAAATGCAGATGAAGTGGAGTAACAAGGGCAAGTGCAGATAGAGTGGAGGGGAGCACTACAGAAGGGATGAGCAGCACTGTACAGTTTTGTGCCACTGATCCACCATGCCAGATTGGATTTTTGCAGGCCAGGTCCAGCCCATGGGCCATAGGTTTTCACTGCACTAGATGTTGCTGCTCAAGGACAGTTGTTCACATATTTTATTGAATATAAAAAAAAATTAGTTGAGATACTGAGGTTATATTATGTGAAATCCTTCATTGAAATCACATCCTTATAAATTAAGTACCACTAGATCTAGTTTTAAATAGTGTAAATACTTTTTGAGTCTGAGAACAATGGTCACCGTGTTTTCTTTGAGACTAAAAAGAATAAAAGTTATTGGTAAACCAATTATTTATAAAGAAAAACCCTTTGAGTTCTATTTTACAGAACAAGTAAAAGAACTTTAGTTTTGGCCAGGGCAACACTTGAAGAGGAATTTCTTTAGGACCAGAAACATTAGACTAAAATCTGCCCTCTACTGTGCACTTGCAACTCTCACTGATTTCTATGGGCTGAATGTCCCAGCTATTTTACGTTGCAGTGAAAAACCCTTAAGCCCCTACAGGCCATGTTAACTGACTCTATCCTAGCAAACTAATCCAGAGAGTGCTTGGTACAGCTCAAGAGGGAAAGAAGAGAGGGAACCATACCTCTTCTATGGACAAAATGTGCAAAGCTGCCAGAAGTGCCATGACTACTTTATGTACATCTCAATTGTCTCTCTTCTGTTGCTGGTATAGCATTGTTACATACCTAGGACTGCAATAATGCTGGCCACAAGGGTTCTCATTTCTTTTTAAATACAACATACATAAATGATAAATAAATAAATAAAGCCACTAGGTGGTGAGAGGTATGGAAGCTGGTTTAGCTAGTTCAAAACCTGTCTCTTCTACAGACCTGTGGGCTAAGTACAGATATTCAAAAAGCCCCTGGAAGAAGTGCTCTATTGCGCCTTACTTAAAGTGCTATTAGTTAGAGTGTGACCAAACCGAACAGATGTCCACTGTTCAGTGGGGGAGGCCTGGAGCCTTCCTGCACTGGTCGCCAGAAACGCTCCTGCACACCTCCCAGGGGGCTGCCCAAGTGTCCCCTCTCCCCAGCTCTCCCAATCCCACCCCCACCTACTGGTGACCGTCAGCAGCAGCTGTGGGATGGAGAGACCTTGCAGTCCTTCCCCCAGGGGCACAAATGCAAAGACCAGTAAAGACGGTTTACTGGTGGGTGCTAGTCTGGGATGCCTGTTTTCATTCAATTCTCTACTTTCCCTACAGACTTGCTGTGCGACTCTAGGGTTTGTATTAAAAATACTTATCTTCCCATCTACTGTCTCCCATTCAGATGGCACCTAAATTTTCAGCATGAAAATTCTGCTTCCAGGCATGACTGCAATTCACACCTAACTTCAGCTGGGATTCACAAGCTAGGTGCTCCTCTAATTTGCTTATAGGATATTAATCCATCTGGCATTCTGATCAGGTGCAATTCAAAACACAGCAGCAACCTCCGCTTTCCCTTCAAAGTACATGTGTACAACTGCAGACTGGTTAGAACATTCACTAAAGTTGTGAGACCTGCATACAATTGCATCATTTGCCTGAGAGGATTCAAACCACCTCACACTTCCTTGACACGTGCCATTATCACAAGACTGTAGGGTATTCTGGTTGCGGCACTCTTACCTCCTCTGCTGAAGGTGTTCCACTGCTGATGGAATCCTTAAAGTTTCTTTGGGCCGGGGACAACATGAGCAAGCATGAGCAGGACTCTGTAGTCTTGCAGTTAGGACACTTTTTGTAGGGGAGACTGGTTTCCTGCCCCTGTTCCAATGACTGTTCCTGTGTATTATCTTAAATTAGGTGCTGTATTGTTGTCTCAAGTCCTTTTATGGACATAGGGCAAGTATCTCTGTATCTTACTTCCCTGTCTATAAAGCTAAGCTAAGCGATAATGTTAAGTGATGTAGGGTTTAGGTGGTTTTTCCCCCCCTAATATAAACATGCCCCTTAAAAAAGGTACTGAAAACCATTCACTCAACTGAAAGCAAACTAACTTCACACAGAACAAAGAAAAGCCATCAGATTTCACTTCTGACTGCAACTCGATCTAACCTGGTGATTGACATGTAAAGTCTCCACAATAGTTAATATTTCACTTGACCAAAAATATCTAAGCATTTTATCAGTAACTTTGTTTTACTAGATTACTGTAGGAACCAGTTCTATCCTAAACCACAGCACCTTAAAGCTGTTATTTACATGATATTGTCAAGAAATCTAGGTAGTTCTCTATGGGTGCATCTACGTGAGCAATTAATGTGACCCAATAAACTCTGGAGCCACTTGAGCTGATGGAAACTGTTCCTGGGTGCAGTGTCTACACATGCATCCAGGACAGCAACACTTTTGAGCCAGGGCAAAGCTGGCCTTGGCTGGCAGTTGGCTGGGGGGGGATCAGCCCTGGGCTCCGGGTGGCATCATGGGGCACTGGAAGGGCTGGCTGTGGCATGAGAGTGCTGAAAGTGCAGAGCCATGTGGCTCAGCAGCAAGCAGCTCCTGCACTTAAGGACCCGTGTGCCCCAGCCAGCCCCGGTAACTGTCCATACCTGTGTTTCATCACACTTAATTACTCTACCATAAGATAGTACTGGCCCCAACAGTACTATCTCATGGTGGAGTTAATTTACTGCGCTCTAATACTGGCACACATGTAGATGGTGACACTTTACTGAAGAGCTAACTAGTTAATTCCACAGTAAAGCACACTTGTAGATTCACCCTGTAGGTACTATTTACTCTCTAACCCAGAGAATGTCAGTAGATTGGTGAAAAGATACATTTTAAATAAGTGAGTTTTTAAAATGTGTGTTGTTTTCACTGAACCAGCAACCTGGGAATATCTAAGGAAACATTAGACAATCCTGAGTAGCCAGAAATATGACATGTCAATTTTAGTTGCGGGCTGTGGCTAAGAAATGAAATTATAATTTTTTAAACAGTTGAGTCTAGAATTCGACAAAGTTTTTAGGGACCAAGCATTTTAACTAAAAAATGACAGGGAGAATATATTAAATGTGTACAGTTATACCCCCTTTTTTTTTAGCTTTACATTGCTACTGTGTTTATATATATAGGTGGAAACAATATTAGGATAGCAATACAAGGTATGACAGTTATCCTTACTTACAGCCAGGCAGCATTTGCGTAGAAATCCAGGGTGAAGAACTGCCATAACCAGCATTTGTACTTGCTGCCACTTTAAACCGATACCATCTGAATTTTTTTAGTTCATGTACTGTCTCCTCAATATGGTCTCCAACAACATTTCCATGAGAGTACTGAACCTTCTCATACTCCACACATCCATTGATTTCCCAATCTTTACAATGCATTGACTGTAGCTGGATAGTAATCTTGTAGTTTTGGAAGTAGCCAAGGATGGTATCTGGTGTTATCCATCTCAAGGTCACACTTGTTGATTGCACATTGGAAAAAGCAATGTCTCTGGGAGCACTGGGAACTATAAATTAAAACAATTTTAATTTAACATAAGATACCTTCCTTGAATGACAAACAGTTTTAATTAAAAGGCAAACTCAGGAATAAATATTAATATCTATCTGTTCACACACACACACACCCCTCCACCCCACACATGGCAATAAGGTTTTGGCTTAAAGAAAACTATTTGTGTGTATGGCCTGAAGTGGTAGCTCTGCAGATAGGAAATGTTGCTGTTGCTGCACTTGGGCCCACACTTCAGGTGGAGAAGGAACTTCTGCTGTTACTGACTCCTTTTATTTTGAAATCCCAAATCATCTCCCACTGTCTTGGTAACATATGTGAACTTTAGGCAATGTGAAAAGACATTTTGATTTAACTTTCAGTGTATACATCAGGGATGGAATGCATGCAGCACACAAGGCAATCTTTACGGTTTAATTCTTTATTAAACCAATGTCTTACATGAAAAAGAATTTGAAAAGCAATACATGGAATCCTGTGTCCTTCCTGCGCTGATTCATTAATCTGTGTGTGTGCCTGTGTGGGCAGTCCAGTTTGCTCCTTGAGAACATTCTGAGGACTTCTGTTTAGTCATAGTGTCAGCCATCCATTGGAAAGTGTACCTTGCAGGTGGTTCTCAATAAAGTTTGAGTTTATATAACTCAAACTCCTGATATAAACTGGAGTGGAATGCATCTATTATGTTCACGTATTCTAAAACCACAAACTTACTATTGCTTACTGGCTGATATATGTATCCCCATGAACACCTACTGTGAACTCCAACTAAGGTGCTTGAGCATCTCTATTTAAATGATGGAGCACAAAGATGCATAACTCATTTTTCTGAATTCCATTTACAGACCCAATAAAACAAATTTTAGATAAGACAATGCATCACTGTGACTAGGGGCTTTTAAATTCAGGCCTATATAGAAGCCTGCACAGGAAATTATGTCTCATCCTATTTCTAACGCGCAAAAGAAAGTGAGAGACAGCAGAAGACACTGAAAATCAATTTTCTACAGCAATGCCTTGATAGTTTTAAAAATGGAATTGGACCTTTAAATGTCAGCTAGTTAAAAAGTCTAATTTAATTTATCTCATCAAATACATTTGATCTGAGTGGATAAATCCAATAAAAAGGCATTTTTTGTTACACTGAGTGAAAACATACTTTTTTATTTGAACAAATCAGAAAATAAAATCAAGCATTTTCTAGGCAATTACAAAGTGATCAGCAGCGACACTCAGTGGTGCATTATCTTCTGTTGAACTCTATGTTCAACTAGACAATTTCAAGACAACGAAACTATTGGGTTTCAGATACAAAGAGGATTACAATTACTTTAGCACAGAGAATCAGATTTCCAGTCTTCAAGAATGACTAAAATTCCCCCAACTTTTTCTTTTCACAGATGGTACTAATTTGAAAAAACCATTCCATGCTTCCTAGAGTAATCATGCAGCTTGCTTAAATTTTATAAATATGACTCAACTATGATGAAGTAACCAATATTCATTCTAAAAGAAATTAAACTAAAAAACTGCACGTTAATGAATTATCCTTGTATCAGAAGTATCCCTAGCTATATTTATGACATGTTTTCACTTCTAAATAAAATGTTAGTAATTTTCACTAGCCACTAAAATGACATTATTTTAAATTATATTTAATTCACTATAATCCAGTTAGATTTAGGAGTAGCTAAAAGTTGAAAGCTCTCTATAGTTTTCAGTTTAGTTTCTGAAACAATAACCATGAGGCAGACCAACAGGATGGAGTGTTTCCAAACTCATCCACCATCACTTACAAGGAGACTAAACTTTAGAGGCAAGCACCCAGTCCCACAAACTCCCTGATCACCTGACTGAGATACTAATCACACCTTCCAATGCCAGTCAGCTAATTCAGGCTAAAATTTTATTTAAGAAATGAAAAGGAAACAAATTCATATTGCAAAAAGCACCTGACTACACACCAAATATCCAGAAAAAACAGGAGAGGAAGGAAAGACTGACAGACACAGACACAATGTGAGTTTTGCACCAAAAACATTCTATTCATAAGGAAGAAGATGTCACAAGGGCAGCACACACAAGCACATCTACCAACAAAACAAAGAGAAGAGGTGGCTTTCTCTAGAGGTTGCCATGAAAAGCAATGACTGAACACAGAAGAAAGTAATGTGATATACCTTAGTTCCTAACTAATTTAAAAGAAAAAAGTCTCCTGGAACAGCTGCTTTAGCTGGATTTTGGATTTAAAAGAGTAGCCGCAGTCTATAAGTCTGTTGAACAATATTAGGAGCATAAACATGAGTTAATTAAGTAAAGGGCATTAGAAAAATATGTACAACAACATAGACAAAAAGCAATTTAAAGAAAAATAAATATGTACATATTTATTTGATTTTTATGCTAGTCTCTCCAATAGGGCTAAGAGCAGCTTCCAATAAAAACAGATAAAATAATAAAACAATACCCCCAAAGAATATCCTGAACTTAACCCTACCTGCTAAAATCCTGCTGAAATAAAAAGGTATTTCACTGCCTCTGAAAACAGCTAGGCTGGGGTTCTGGCAGGCCTCAGGGGGGAGGGAGTTCTAGAGCTGAGGAGCAACAGTCAAAAATGACCTTCCACATGTTTTAGCTAAGCAAACTTGACACACAGATGTTACCTGCAGGAGGTTGCTCTCAGCTGACCTTAAGGACTGTGGATGGAGCATCAGGAAAGAGGCAGCTCCTTTGGTATATAAGGTCAGGCCATTTAGGGCTTTATGGCCAAGTACAAGTGTTATCCTTTTATCAGTATAAGTGATTGGAAACTGGTCTATGTCCATAACAGAAGTTCAGCACATGTAGACTGGTTTAAATATGGCAGAACCCAGTCTAAGATTGGCCCCCCCAAAGGGCTGTGTGTGCTGTTTGCTACCAATCTAAACTATGCCACTTACAGAAAATCATGTAACTTAGATCAATTCCATCTTCGTCTTTTTGAATGTTCGTACCTACCCTACAGGTCAAGACCAGCACCATGAATTGCACCCAGGAAGCTACTGAGAGCCACTGCAGACTCCGGAGCACTGGAGTAATGTGCTTTTGTCAATCTGCCTGCTTGTTCCTGTCAAAAGGTAAGCTGCTGCATTCAAACTAGCTGCAAATTCCAGACAGTCCTCAAGGTAGGTGCACATAGACCACATTGCAGTAGTCTAGCCTCAGTGTTACAAAAACATGGATGATGGTGGCCAGATCTGAATCTAAAATAAAAGTTTGCAGACAGATGGAAGGTGCTTCCAGCTACCACCACATCCAAAGAAAAAGGAATCCAGGAGCATCCCCATGTTGAGGACCTGAGTGACAACAGGAAACTGAACCCCATCAATAATAGATGTCTACCTCCCTACCCCACAAGCCATGAAGTCTTCCACCACCATCACCTCTGTCTTGCCCAGATTCATCTTCAGATTCAGGAGAGACAGAACTGGGTGTCGCCAGCATACTGATGGCATCTCACTCCAGATCCCCACCCAATCTTGACCAGTTGAACACAAGAAGTGACAAGATGGAATCCCAGGGAGCCCCATGGGAAAGGTCCTGAAGGGAAGATGAACATTCAACCATCACCACCCTAGGAGAGTGCAGAACCAGTTAAGAAAATTCCTATGAAAACCTACATGATCAAACAGATGTGTTATCAACACCTAAAGGTTAACTGTATCAAACACTGCTGAAAGATCTAATCAGAGCAGCAGTGAAATTTCCCCTGTTTATCCCTAGGGGAAGATCAACAACGGGTTGACGTGGTGTCCGGAAAAGCCCCATCACTGTGCACGGGTGGACCTGGTGCCTGAGAGGCCTGCCATTCAAAAGCATGGGTTGACGTGGTGCCCGAGAGGCCTCCCATTCAAATGCATGGGTTGACCCAGTATCCAGGAGGCCTGCTATTCAAATGGATGGGTTGATGTGGAGTCCCAAAAGGTCCCATTGCCAGGCCCGGGTTGACCTGGTGCCAGGGAGGCCTGCCATTCAAATACATGGGTTGAGGTGGTGTCCAGAAAAGCCCCACTTCTGGGCCTGGGTTGACCTGGTGCCAGAGAGGCCTGCCATTCAAAATACATGGGTTGAGGTGGTGTCTGGAAAAGCCCCATTTCTGGGCCTGGGTTGACCTGGTGCCTGGGAGGCCTGCCAGTCAAATACATGGATGGACATAGTGTCTGGAAAAGCCTCATTGCCAGGCCTGGGTTGACTTGGTGCCATAGAGGCCTGCCATTCAAATGCCTGGGTTCATGTGGTGTCCGGAAAAGCCCCACTGCCAGGTCTGGGTTGACCTGGTGCCTAAGAGGCCTGCCATTCAAATGCCTAGGGTTGACGTGGTGTCCAGAAAGGCCCCATTCCCCAGGCACGGGTTGACCTGGTGCCAGAGAGGCCTGCCATTCAGATGCCTGGGTTGATGTGGTGCCAGAAAAGCTTGCCATTCAAATGCCCAGGTTGATGTGGTGTCCAGAAAGGCCCTGTCCCTGGGCCCGGGTTGACCTGGTGACCAAGAGGCTTCTTGTTCAAATGCCTAGGTTGACCTAGTGCCAGGGAGGCCTGCCATTGAAATGCATGGATTGACTTGGTGTCCGAAAAAGCCCCATTGCCAGGCCTGGGTTGACTTGGTGCCAGAGAGACCTGCCATTCAAATGCCCAGGTTGATGTGGTGTCCAGAAAAGCCCCATCATCAGGCCTGGGTTGACCTGGTGACCAAGAGGCTTCTTGTTCAAATGCCTGGGTTGACCTGGTGCCTGGGAGGCCTGCCATTCAAATGCATGGGTTGACTTCATGCCTGATGGGCCTGCCATTTAAATGCATGGATTGACGTGATGTCCAAAAAGCACCCATTGCCAGGCGCAGGTTGACTTGGTGCCCAGGCAGCTTATCATTTAAGTCCAAGGGTTGAGGTGGTGTCTGGAAAAGCCCCATTGCTGGGTGTGGGTTGACCTGGTGCCTAAGATGCCTCCCACAGGAATGAATGGGTTGACCTGGTGTCCAAAAAGCCTCCCATAGGAATGAATGGGTTGACCTGGTGCCCAGTCAGCACCTGGAAGTCCATAGGGGTCATGCAAAATGCATGCCCTGACCCTTCAATCCAAGAGAATGGATCCATTTGGTGGCTTTGCCTCATGCTTGCCCCAGAGCCTGGCATGGGCACGACATTTAGGAAGGTACCTGCAGATATGCAGTCTTTATCCATTATACAGAATGAAAGTCAGACCCACATGGGTCCAGAAACCTGACAGCATCCAGATGCACCTGAGTTATCAGGCAACCATTCATTCAGTCATTTTTCCCAAAACAGAAAGGCTGGAGACAGGGAAGTAGCTTGCTGGGAAGTCAACATCAAGACATGTTTTTCTGAAGAGGGGCTAGACAATTGTGAACTTGATGTCCAGTACTACACCCTCCTGAAGGGAGGAACTGACTACCCCTGCCAGCAGCAGACCTAGACTTCTGGCTGGCTTTTACAAGCTAGGATGGATATAGATCCAGTTTGCAACTGGTTGTCCTCATCCCCCTAAGCACATTCTCTGCCTTGGTAGATGACAACACTTGAAACTGGTCCATATAAACCAAACAAGGCTGAGCTTCTCCAGGCCCAAAATTAGACTTATCAGCTGAACTGGTGGTCCCAATATGGACAACCCTGATTAACCAGACTTTTACCACCCAAAATAGTTTGCTGGATGGCACTTTTGCAAATACAACTGCAATGGAGGAAAAAAAAAACAACCACCTCCTTGGGGATGCCACTGCCATAGCATAGTCCTTTAAAAACGATCGATGCCATTGTCAATCAGCTTTGGCACAGGTCAGGAACCACCTGCCCTTTAACCACACAACCTTTCACTTAAGCTCCTCTCCGCTTCACAGATTCCCCCCTATACCAGGGGGAATCTTAATTAGTCCACCACACGAGTGACTGGTGCCACCTGAATCTGGGGGGGCACCCGCAGAAGTTGCCAACTGCGGCAGCCCTGATAGGGAGGCACCAGCCCTGCTGACAGCATCAGTGTCGACCATCAGGAGGGGCACCGGCACCTCCATGCACCCCCTACCACTTGCCTATGACTACACAACTGGGGGCATTTGGGGGCAGGGATCTATGCCTTTAGAATACAGGATCTCCTATTTCCAGGCAGGTAAAAAACATCAAGTCCAATGCCCTGTGCATCAGTCCAGTTATTCTCTGGGATAGCCCCATGCTAACCACAATTCAGATGAAATTTTGTTCCAGCCCTAAGGAGCCAGCCTCAGTATGAATGTTCAAGTCATCCAAGATAATAAGTCTAAGTGTCCTCAATACCAGTTCCGAGACTAGTTTAGCTAGCTCAGTCAGGAATCTGTCGTGCAGCAAAGTGATCAATACATTAGCAGAATCCCCAGTCTATCCCCAGTCCCAAACACAAGGTAGATAATTCTTAAGCGTCAGATTGTCCTAATTCTGCAAATGCAAAAAAGAACTTTACTCCACAAACAGTTTTATTGACTTCAGTAGGATGATGTGTGGTAAGAGGTAATGTACAGTATGGAATGAGAGCATTATAATCTGTCCCTAAATGACCTAAATATCTTTTTTTTTGGATTGGTTGATTTTCCTGACATAAAACATGGCAAATTTTAGATTTTACCAATTGACTATATATTGCAGACCAGATTTTCAAGAGAGCCCAGCCTTCACATCAGGGGCTAGATTTTGAAAAGTCCTCAGCTTGTGAACTGTGTATCTTTGAAAAAATCCATCCTCAACAGTGGGTCTGGAGCACTTGCAAAATCTCACCCTACAACTCTAATTTTTTTTTTCTACTAAAGTTAACTACAACACACCAAAAAGAGTAGGATTAGGCCATTTATTTAATATACTCAAAAATTTAGTTTGAGACCTCTAAGAATTTGAGACCTCTAAGAATTACATATAGGGGGAAACGGATTTCTGGAACTGTAAAAGACTCTTTGAATTTAGGCAGATGCCAGGCAGAGATGCATCTTATAGACTAACTAAATATGCCTGCATGAACCCAAGGTTGCTTCATTAGATGCTGTCTTTACTTTGGATTTAGTTCTGCAAAAATGCTAAATT